CTTGTGAGCGAGTAAGACACTGCCTTGGAAGGGCACACCAGCACTGAAATTCTAGAACCTTCTCCTAACAGTCCCCAGATAAACCACTATATTACAGTATAGGCCTCTGCACCTTAAATTGAGTATTATATTGGTCTACCTTACAGTCCCATCAGAAAACAAGCATGTCCCTGTAGTAGTCACACTATCCACCCACATCCAACATGGATGAAAAACTCCTACCTTCCAGCATTCTTGACAAACCCAATATCTGCCAGAACTTCCTGGCAGATGTCACAGCGGAAACACTCAGGATGCCAGCTATTGTTCATGGCTTTGATAACTCGGCCAATGATAAATTCACCTGTGGGAAAGTAAACCACAAAGGAGGTCCAGTGGGATATCTTAAGGAAAAAACATGAGGAAAAAATACATTTAAATCTTCCTCCACAAACAGGAGCTGTACATGTATGAACTTACCACAGTAAGCGTGACATTAGAAAAATGTTTATTACATCTGAATTCTTATTTTCTGGCTGCTTCATTATATCTCTGATTCTAGCTTTCCTTTTCAAAAGGTATGTGGGCTCTTTTGAATGTCTCCTGGTTATTTTTGGTGATTGCTGACACAGAAAACTGAAATCCACAGTATACTTTCTTGTACCTCATTGCTGTATAACCCTGCCAACCTGCATAGGTTTACTGCCAATTCTGGCAGATGAAAGAGAACACTGGCGGCTACGTAGATTTTACAGGCTTTTAACGCTGAATCAAGGGACAAACCATCTATCAGACAGCAACTGAGCCCACTGGACTCAGAATGGGGGCCTCTCTGTGAACACTAGAGGAAGCACTTTTACCCCTCGCTTCTGGGCCCAACCATCTGATTTACACATGCTCATGCCTGTGCTTTCTGGGCTCAGATGCACATAATCAAAGGGATGTGTTCCCCATGCTCCCCTTATCTCGGCTCTGGGTGTCTGAAACGTAAAGGTGTAAGACCACAGGTGCCAGCCTAAGAGGCCAACAGTGGGAGGGTGGAAAAAAGCCTGAGTTAAGTTCATTTTCCCTAGCCAATACTTAATAATTAAATCATGAGAACATATTCAGTTTGTCCAGCTTCTGGAGACCTTTTAAATAGAGCTGCTGGCC